GGGATGGTAGTGGTGGTTTGGAATGGACCTCTGGCACTCCTCTCCATGCCTGGCTGTTGACTCATTTGAGTCATGCTTCTTTCAGATGGGCTTGAGCTGTTCTGCTCACCTCATGGAGACTTTTTGTCCTTGCAGGAATAAAGCGGGTTGGCTTGACAGCGAGCTCAACATGTTCACGCATCAGTACCTGCAGCAAAGCAGATAGTATGGGAAGAACAGAAAACCAATGCTGTTTCCCTTCAGTGCTCTCTTAATTACTGCAGAGAACATGGTGGGTGATGGAATTCCCTGAAGGGAATAGGCAAAAGCCTATTGCTGTTTCCAGTTGCTGTGTGAACGATAGGAGTCTGCTTCCCTGTTCTGTGTCCCACCTCTAAACACTAGCTGTTGGTAACTCTTCTTTTCCTTCCTGTGAGACCAGGCTACTTCAGAAGGAATGTGTGCTTCATACATTCACAGGGGCTTTTAAAAGCAAAATCAAGTACAGTAGTAAGTTGAAACCAAATATTTATCAGGCTAAAAGTTACTCTGACACATCTTTAAAGACTCCTTCATTTCACTATATGAAGGTAGAGCTTTTGACTTCCAAGCCCCGAGTTTATGTATGTGTGACAAGTAGCAGTTTGTCTAAACCCAGATCCCTTGCACAGAGGTGTAACGATGGTTTCACAATGCATTTATAGCCCATGTAGGCCTCTCTCCTCGGTTAATATTCCGTTATTATAGACTATGACAGAGAATCACCGTGTCCCTTCATAGAAAGGTTTATTACTGTCAGGATGTTTAAACCAATGAACAAAACCCATTTCTCTTCCAGAGCAAGAGGGACTAAGATTTTGCTTTGGTAAACTTATTGTCTTTGGAGTTAGTTTGTTCCTGTTAAGAACAACTTAATATTCAGTCTAGCCCATTTCATATTGTGGACAGATAGTCTGCAAGGACAGAACTAGGTCCTGTGAAGGGGGTGGTGCTGAGAATGTGGCAGCTTGTTGAGGAAGAGAAATAGGGAAAACCACTCAGTTGATGGAATGTATGAACTATCTGATGAGATCAGTTGATGACTGTGGGGTTCTTTTTTGGAAACACACAGCTGTGTTTCTGGAAGCAGGCCTTTGGAATTCCATTACCACAATTTGGCCACAATAACAGCACGAGGATTACAAGCTGTAAGAGATTTTGCTTCATGCAGAGTTCCCATAGGATGTGACAGTCCGTGCAGTAATATGATTTGATTTTGTTTCTCTTCTGTTAAAAGTATGAGAATGAGCTGGCAGTGGAGCTCCTCTGGAGCGGGGGAAGACCTGTCCATTCCATGTTGTGCCAGGGCAAGAATGGGTCACAGCAACTCATTTTTTTTAAAGACATTATTTATTTGCAAATAGCTTAAATTAATCATGGAGGTTTGCCCTGGAGCAGTTTTGAAGTTGGAGTGTCAGATTTGGGAACTGTAAGGACTTGAGTCTTTTCCTGCTGGAATTGATAAAGGAGACATTTCCGTTAATTTTACTTGAACCAGGATCAGGTTCCTATGTTGTAAAGTTTCTTTTCCACTTGGTGGGTGTTTTGCCATGTGTTGGCTATAACCTTTTGGTCCCCCACAAAATGTCTGAGGAATCCAGAATCGGATCCTGTAGTTCTGAGGTTAGTGAGAACCCAAATCTGGTCAGTGTCAGACTTCAGAGCATATGGGGTTTCCTTGAGGAGGTCCCAGGTGAGTTCAGAGCTGCTAGCAGTGAGGGGTTTTTTCTTATTGACAGTGAGACTTTTCACTTTCAGATGGTATCAGCTGGCCTTAGGATTTCTCATTCATGCTCAGGTGTGCATATATGTGCCTGTGACAAGTCCCTTGTTTCATATGTCACAGAAGTTTCAGAAGCAGTTGCCTGATACTTGAGGGAGTAAAAATAGCAAAATGTCAGTAAGTACTTTAGGCTGTTTTGAGATTTGCAGTCAGACCTGAAGTATCTTGATCATGTAGGAGCTGACAGTGAGACTCTTGTTCAGTCTCTGGAATGCAGGAAGCAAACATTCCACTTCCAGCAGACAACTTTGAATCCAACCCAAACTGAAAAGCTGTTTTCATCAGAGGGCTGCCTTGGCCTTGGTTGGTTTCTTCAGGCAACCACCAGGGCATAAATACATCTTAGATCAGATCCAAAAGGGAGTAAGGAAGAAATCTGAGTCCTTACCTCTGGAAATGTGTTCTCTAGGCTTGTGGTGAAGTATGCCAGAGTAAGTGGAATCATCCACTGTTACTCTGCTGTGGGTATTATGTGAATAAATTCAGATTTCTGGTCTCTCAAGCTATCGTGTACAGAGCTCTAACAGGCTGTGTGCTGTGCTGTTGAGCTAAAACATTAAGCACATCCCTAATACACCAGGAAATTGTCAGTGCCAGGTAGGGGAAGAGGAAGATGTACCACTGCTCAGCAGTTGTAGGCTGCCTGAAATGCTGAGCTTGCTTTTAAAGGCATGTGGTAGTATCTTTTCATCAGACTTTTAGGGGAAATCTGATAAATGAGCTGATCTTTAAGCCAGTGTGTGATCTGTAAAGGGAAGAGAGATTGAGGGGCTCTTAGAATCTGGAGACTAGCCAGTGTGTGTATGTGTTCCCACAACTGTTCAGGTTGTGGTGGTGTAGGCATGGCCACTGCTGTGCTGAAACCTAACCTGTAGAACGGGGAAAGAAGCACTTTTGAAAGTTGTAAGAAGCAAAACTGCTAACATGGGAGGCAGGAATGTTTTCAGTGTGTGTGTAACCTTTGTCCCTAGAAGCCTGAGTATCAACAATCAGACTTTTAACAGAAAGGCCTATGAGCTGGATTCCTGTACAGCAGAATGGAGCTGTACTTCTTTAACTCAGAGTGGTGGAGGAACAAACACTTGCCAGCAAGGAGCCTGTTCTCTTCTGATGTTCGTAAAGAATGATAAGCTATTCCTTAGGACAGGAATGCCAAACCAAATCTTCCCCAAACTCTTATTAAAGAAGGTCAGCTAAATGCACTTTATCTTATTGCTGCTACTCATTTTTCTCATTGTGTTATGTTGATGGAGCTCTTTGAACTACTCTTACCAGTGAGTTTTCTCTCTGCTGTATTTAAGGTGATAAATTTGCATGAATTATTTCTCTATCAATGCTGTAAACAGTGGAAACCAAAATAAAAATGAATTGGAAAAATATTTATCCTGATGCGTGCTGTGTGTGGAGATACAAAGTCTTCAATTGTAAGTATAATAGTTACTGAGATGATGATGTAAATTGGGGTATGTTGTGTGTTAGTAGTGACCTTTAATCTGTGTGGTTACTGTGAAAATTAACAAGGAGACCAATACTACTTAGTTATCCAATGGAAAGTTTGAGAGATTCCTTCTTAAGTTACACTAAAAATGGTGGTATGGGATCAGTGATTTCTTGAGAATATTGCAGGAAGGTGTGGTCAGCAAATACTGTGTTGAGAGGCTGAAATCATGGTCAGTGGCTGTTCTCAGGTGGTTACCGGCTGCCCCATCCCTGGCAGTGTTCAAGGCCAGGTTGGACACAGGGGCTTGGAGCAAGCTGCTCTAGTGGAAGGGGTTGGAACTGGATGAGCTTTAAGCTCCCTTCAACCCAAACCCTGTTCTGTGGCTGTGCTGTGCGGGTCGTTTCCAACCGTGGATTTCAGAACCGCTCCCGTTTGGCTGCGGGGGACGCTGGGCTCCGTGGTCCCCTCTGAGCCCCGCAGGACCCGGGCCGCAGCCCCGGCTCTGTTCCGCTTCCCCCGGCTCAGCCTTTCCGCGCATGCCGGGAGCCAAGGGGCGGGCCCAGCCGCGGAAGCGGCCGCTGGAGCTGTCGAGGCCGTCCGGGGGAGTCCGGCGGCGGCCGGAGCAGGACGGGGAGCTCCGGGGTGCGCGGAGGTGGGCCCAGGGACCGGGGGAACGCCCGCAGGCCTGGGGCCGCTCGGCCCGGCGAGGCTCGGGCTCCGCACAGCGCTGTACGGGGGGGGGGGGGGTGTCACCGGCTCTGTGCGGCTGCCGGGCCTCATGGCGAGGGAGCGGGGGGCTGACAGTGCCCCGGGCCATCCCCCGTAGGCAGGGGGATCAGAACCTGCGTGTGCGCCGGGGAGCTCTGCGTAGCTGTTTGTGAGCCAGCGTTCCTTAATCCGGTATCAGAGATGGGAGTGCTTAGCGCGGGGGACAGCCATCAGTTACTTTTAACTGCAAGAAGTTAAGGTCCTTTCCACAAAGGATTCAGGCTAAAGCTTGAGTTCCTGGGTCTGAGCATGAAGCACTAACAGCTTCTGATCGATTATGCTAAGAGTGGGTCTCATCTGGTAGAACACGTCCAGAAAGTCCCTTGGCTAATGTTGTTTTCAGAGTATTTGCTCTCTGATGAGCAATGATGAGAGGATCAACGCTCTTGGCGTTGTCCTGTGAGAACTTGTTTTGTTCAAATAAGCTCAGTTTTAGTGTCTCAAGGCTGGCATTTCTGTTTTATGCCCAGTAGTGCACCTCTCGCTATATATATATGCATCTATATCACAAAAAGGTATACTGTAGTTTTACTGTTAGCACTGCTCTTCGTTCCAACCAGTGCTGTTGTACAGGACTTGCATTTAATTCCTCATGTCCAGTTGCCGAGGCAGCAGGCACCAAAACAAATGGGATGAGTTTTGGAGAAGGGTTTAGAGATCCTTTGGGACATATGGTCCTGGAGAAGCACAGAGTTGTCTTGAGGATATAATTGATTACTCAAGCCAAAAGCAAGGGGGGGGGGGGTAGGTTTAGTTTTCTTAATTAAAACAGCACTTTCTGCTAATTTAGAGGAGATGGTGGTGGTGTCACCATGTTGAACAGTGTGACAGCTTGCCACTCAAACTAAGTGTCTATCATCTTTCTGTCTATATCTCTATCTTTTTGTCTGTCTATCTATCTATCTATCTATCTATCTATCTATCTATCTATCTATCTATCTTTTTCTCCCCCCTCTCCCAATAAAAGGGTAAGAACTCTTAGTGCTTAATGTGTGACATTGGAATTGCCTGAGCCCTAGTCCCGAGTCATAATTGAGCCTTTTGAAGTCTTCCTTCCAGAAGTGGAGGACAGTTTGGACTCAATATTTCTTTTGGATGTAGTAAATATATTCATATTCCTTAGTCATATTTTGAACTTCTGAGCATCCTGCTGGTATCCCAGTATAAATTTGGAGGCTTGAAAAGCACATTCAAGCAGAATAAGGTTGTTCTAAATATCAGCCTCTGAATCAAATAGCTTTTATTTGGCTTTGTGATGCGAGTTTTTTCATGTTTAGTGTTTGTGAGAGTCTCTTGTCTCTGCTCAGTCAGCTGCAAGGTTTTGGGTGCAAACTGTTTGACACTCCATCTGAGGGAGGTATGCAGTGGTGCTAGTCTTTAGCATAAAGAGCTTTGAGACTGGCTGGTTTCTGAGGAGCAATAATCAACACTCCCAGTGGTCCAGCAGCTGTTTGTGGTTTTCATGAGAAGTCCCCCGCAGGTGGTTTCTCCTGGGACTGCTCCTTCCCTTCCTGCTTCCATTGATGTTGTTCACCCTTCCTCTGGCTTTACAGTGAAGCGTCTTCACAGGATGGAGATAGAGCACCTGCAGAGGCTGCGTGAGGCCAACCAGGACCTTCTGCAAAGGCTCAGAATGAAGCAGGAAGAGATCAGAAAAAGGCTTCCCAGCAAGGCATCTCTTGATAACAGAACAGCTCCTGAAAGCTCTGTCCCCTTGCCCACAAGAAGGGTACGTGTTGTGTCTGTGCCAGAAGTGCTGGGAAGCAAATGGACCTTATCTGAAAGACAGCAGCCTATGGAGTGATGTTCCAAAGGAGACAGATGAACACGGAGGAGCTGGTAGAAAGTAGAATGTGGAACATGGAGACAGAAAAGTAGCTGTTTGTTGCTTATCCTGTGGTCTCCACCGTGTTCTTGCAAAGGGGTCAGAGATCAGTTCCTGCCCAAGGAATGTAGGTTTCATAATCTAAGATAGGAATGAACTTTGTGGAACATACTCTTTTTATATCTTCTAAGCATGAAGGCTGAAAGTTAGTGTTCCTCAAATTGGGAAGAGCTGCATTTCTCTGGAAGTGGATCCCTTCCTTATCTTCCCCAGGCACTTAAATAATGTCTCATGAATACATGGGTTTTTTTTCCCCACAGGAATATAAAGGGGTGAGCAGACTAGAATGAGAGGTTGATTTTCTGTTACTGAGTGAAGTGTCCTAGAAAAAGGTGTGTGTAATCTGAACGATGCTGTGTGGTATAAGAATCTCTGTCCTTGCAGAAGACAAATCCAGCTGATGCTGTGGAGCCTACAGCTGACCCTGAAGTGTTGGTGTGTGTGGAACCTGGAGCTTATGCAGCCAGAGCAGCCCTCTGTTCATCTCTTAAACACAGCAGCAGTGACAGGGGGGTACAGCAACAACAAGAGAAGATGCAGGAAGCAGTAGGTTTGGATTCTGGCTTTCCTGGGAAAGAGAAGAATGTTGTGCCAGTGACTGCAGTCATTACCTGTGGCAGAGAAACCTCTGAAGTGGAGAGGGGTGGCCATGCTCAAGGAAGTCCACAGAAAGAATCCTTCCCTCTGGGACATGGAGAGAACAGAATCCAGTCCACTCTGCTAGATGGCTTCCATGAGAAGCAGCAGCTTGAGGATGTTCTGGCCTCATCACTGAGCAGCAGCCAAGGTGAAGAGACCAGCAAGCAGCATGTGGTTGTTAGAGAGCCTGTCGTTCGTGAATCAGTCTTGCTGACGTCTCAGTCCCAAGAGCCAAAGGTAAATGGGGTTTATGCTTGTTTTCATCAGTCAATAGAAGGATGGGGGAGAAAGGCTCAGGAGGACATTGCTTGCTCTGTTCTCACTGTGCAATTTGGAAGTTGGGGTCAGCTGTTCCCAGCCTTAGCAGCTGGGGGCTTGTGTCAGTTTGTTCAGGCCCTACTTTCCTTAGCCCTTGAACTGAAGACTTCAGCACTTCACTGTGAGACTCCTTGTCCTCTGTGTATGTGATTGACCTCTCAGGGAGAACAGCCTGGTGTGGTGCTGCTGCCACATAGCTTGTTTCCATAGGTGTGGAGGGCAGGTTATTGCTGTGGTCTTCCTCCAGGCCAGCAGAGGTGACCTGATGTTTGGGGATGTGTGATGCAAGGAGCATTTTGTTTAAAGCCCTGACAAATTCTGCCTTTCCCTGGGCAAGTCCCCTGCCTCCTCTTTCTGTTTTGTGACGTGAAAAAACAAAAGGCTGCTACTGGTAGAGGCATAGATAGAATCCAGCCACAAACTAAGCCACAGCTGTCCCATTTGAACAGTTGTCTCCTTGCTGTATCTTTGAACGTCTGCTAGTTGTCTTATGGATTGTTTTCTTCCCAGAAGGGAGCTGGTTGCATCACTTTTGAGTCTGACCCTGAAGAATATACCATACCTGTGAGCACCTGGTCCATACGTCCTTTCCTGGGCTACGACTGGATTGCAGGTGAGTCCTCAACATGAAGCAAAGCTCTCAGGATGTTGCAGTAATATGACAACGTCAAACCCAGTTTACGGCCCCTTTAAGTTTAGGTGTGACAGAACTGCAGCCCTAGAGCCCATGTGGAAGGTCTCAGCAGAAGAGCTGCAGTTTTGTCAGATGCCATTCCTTGTCCAGTGCATCCCTGGAATGGTGATGCTGCAGTGGAATGGGAAGCCAGGCAGCAAACGTCAAAGCTGAGTGAGGTCAGAGGGGATACCCAGTAACTGAAATGAATGAATGCAATAACGGACCCAAATCATGCAGTGAATCTCTGGCTTGACACAACGACGTGTTTTTCTTAGTATTCATTTTGGTGCTTCAGACCTTTACTTTGGCTCTTTTATGTGAGGTTTGCTTTGGGGCTTTTCTATGTGTGGTAAATCCTTGACCTTTTCCCTTTCCTTGGCCCTCTCAGGACTCCTAGATACGAGCCCTTCAGTAGCAGAAAAATCTGACCAGTACTTTGCTGAGCTGCACGAGTTCCGACAGGTCAACAGAGAAGAATGTATTCATGAGCAGCGCCCAGAGTGAGTGGGTATGGGGCGAGGGCTGAAGCAGCAATGTGTCTCTTTAGCCCGATGAGGAGTAGAGCCTGATTGGAGTGGGAAATTGTAAGGGTGGCTTTGTAGGCCTTTATTTCCCTCCCAGTCGGAAATGCATGTTTTGAAAAGGTGGGGCTGTTCAGAGAGCCTGCCCCCTTACACTGATTTGTTTGCGTATCTCTTTTAGGCCCAGCGCTGTGGACTACAGAGATCCTGAACAAGAACCAGATGTGATAACCGGTTCCCATAAGTGTAAGATCATATTGCCTCCTAATCTAATTTCTGTGAACGAACAACTGAGCAGACTTTGCCTGTTGTTCTGAGGAAGCCCTGCATCGTGCAAGGCAGGGAGGAATGTGGGATTTTTAGGTGCAGCTTCTAAACCAGCTTCAGTTTCGTACTCCAAAGATAACTTGAGTCTCCTAAGGATCCCCTCTCTATCAGGGTCATCTTACTTCATCAGGGTTTCTTGTAATTGGCTGATGTTCTCTTATTAACTTGAGGAGGTTGAAGTTCTGGTTTTGCTTTTTAGGAACTTCTTTGGGGACAGGAAATGTAAAAGATATTTCAGGAAAAGCAGCTCTTTCTATAGAATGCGTGTGTGACACTGATGGAACACAGCTTGGTTGAGTGGATTGAGAAGCCTTCTGGCAAACAATAGGAATAGCTATTGTTTAGCTATTACTAATGGTAGCAATAACTGCCATGATGGTGTGTTACTCCGTGGCAGGTGTTTACTGTTACCGGTTAAACCAGCGCCTCTTCCCTGTCCCTGTGGATTCAGAGTCTGCCTGCCCCGTGTGTAAGATCCCACGTACTCACCGGCCCCCAGAGAAATTGGGAGAGCCAGCCTATGTCAGGTAAATTAGTTATTGCTTTGTGATGGGCAGAAGTCAAGGAAACAATAGGAAAGAAAAAGCTGATGATGTGAGGGAGAAAGCAGTGCCAAATTGCTCTGTTCATGGTTGCTGTTCTCTCTCTCTTGCTTTAAAACTTCTCACTCATCTTTTCCATAAGCAGAAGCAGTTTTGAAGTCAGTGAGAAATGCATGTTTTATCTGAATTTGCTCCAGAATCTGAATTCTGTATATGTTAAGTGTCTAATGCTCTAATCCAAAACTGTTTCACTTGGTTCACTTTGGGATTAGACCCTTGGGTTCTGAGTGGGGCAGGTGTGCAAATTTCCTTTGCCTTGTAGAAAGCATAGGCAATGACTTCCATTCCGTGGTTGCAGGGTCAGCATTCCCAGGTCTACCCTTATGCCTGCCTACAAGCACAAAGCCCATCGCAGGAAGAGCTTTGAACCAGAAGATAGTCTAGCGTTACCTTCGGTAAGTCGCTGTCTTCTTACTGATACTGATGGCACAGCCCGGGTTGTACATTGCTGTACAGCACCAGAAGGAAGGAGAATCTGGGACTCATCCCCTTGGGCAGGGCTTCCACTAAAAGTTCTGATCTGTGTCACTGAGATAGCAAGGAAAACCACTGGTGTGTGCTTCTGAGTTCCTAGCTTTGTGCAACTGACATAAAGTATATGACACATCTCCAAATGCTTTACCTTGAGGAAAAGAAAGTGCCATATGGAGCTGTGTACTTCTGAGGCATGATTCAGCTGACTTATTTCAGGCATTGACATTTCAACACGATGAACCAGACCTTAAGAGTGTCTGTGTTTCTTTCCACAGGTGTTAGGGAGTCTCAAAGACAAGTTTCCATTAAGTATTCACAGTGTATTGCACATGGGCCAGGCAGAATCAGTAGTGGCAAGGGTGGGTTTAAAACTGTATTGAATAGAGTAGGTCTTGTGTTCCAGCCACAAGGCAATGCTGCAGGCAGTATTACTGATCAGACCTAGCCCTGGCTTAGACATTTCCAGGGAAGATGTAGGAAGAAGCTTGATTTTGAGGTTTAGGGAACTGCACAAGTGGAGTTGGTTTCAGAGGGTGGTTGACTGAATTCACACAGCAGGAGATGGGTTTAGAAATAATTAGTGAAAGGTGGAAGAGGGGATGCCTCTGCAGTTCTGCTTCATTAAAGATTTCTTCTTTTTCCTGCTAGTCCAAATTAATTACTTGCTTAAACCTCCCTGCACAGAAGTTATTATGTAGAACTAACAGGCCACAATGGATTAAAAAGGGTGAAGCACTGCAATGCAGCACTCCCATCTCTTCACAGCACTGCCTGGCTGGCTGGAAAAATACCATCTCTTGCAGCAACCCCATGCTCAGCAGTTTGGATCTGCGAGCTTCCCTGGAAGAGAAGCCTCCTCACCATCCTCGCCGGGTAAGAGTAGCCTGTTCAGTGCCCCTAGAGATGCTGTGGATTGCACAGACAGGAATTGCAATCCTGTCTCTCTAAAGGGCATCATAATCATCAGTGGCTGAGCAAGTGAAAATGCCTGGAAGATTTTCTCCTGATCTCCACTGGGAAGCATTTTCCTTTGCTGCTGTGTAAACTGCACAAAACAGCACAGACACAAACCAGCAAATGGAGCTGGAGCACTGGCAGAAGCTTCTTCAGCTCCCCAGTCTTCATCAAATGGGAAAAGTCTGGTATTCCATTAACACCCTCTTCATTTGGATTCCAGAACTTGGTGTCCAGAGTGTCAGGAGGAACCAGAACTGACCAGCTTCTGAACCTGACCCCCTTGGCACACTTCAGATTGAGCAGTGCTTCTCAGCAGAGGGGGAGCAAACCAAATCTGGCCACTAGAGAGCAGCTCCAGATTTAAACCTGACTGCCTCAACTCTGTGAACCCCTGACTTGATTGTCCTGGAAACCTCTATTTGGATAAAAATAAATCTTTGAATGGATTTTTAACTGGTTTTCATAGTCATGTATCTACAGGAGCAACATATATGAGAGTCTGTACATTCAACTATGGGTTTTTACTTTCTTCCTTTGCTTTTTGCAGCTACTTCTAAGCAGATGCACGAGCTCCCCTGCCTAGGGCTGGATAAAGGGATGTGTACAGGATGACTAACTAGTACTGTTACCACTAGGACAGCTGTAGCAGCAGAGTTCATCTGCCACCTCAACTAGATAAACCAGAAGTGTAATGTTAACTCTGGATGCCAGGGTGAGGAATGGGCCTGTGGATGCCCAGGTTCAGTGGAATGCATACAAGTATGTCCATTTCCAAATGCTGGGAGCATGGCACAGAACTTGGTAATGCCTTAAGCTTGAGTTACTCAATAATTTAGTTTACAGAAGTGCAGTTTCTCTTCAGTGCCATGTCTGAGGATGGATTACATCCAAGTAATTATGAATGTGGAAAAAGTAAAGTGAGACTTTTTTTAACCAAAAAGCCAGGTAATGCCTTAAGATGTTTGCAAATCCTGCTTGCCTCAGAAAGCTTTTCCAAGCTCTTTGGGGATAAACCAAAACCCATTTTGGAGCTTTGAAATTGTGACAGAAGAAAATATAATATGGTGAGGCACTGGAATGGGTTGCCCAGGGAGGCTGTGAATGCTCCATCCCTGGTGGTGTTCAAGGCCAGGTTGGACGAGGCCTTGTGTGATATGATTTAGCGTAGGGTGTCCCTGCCCATGGCAGGGGGTTGGAACTGGATGATTTTAAGGTCCTTTCCAACCTAAACTATTCTATTCTTTGATTCTATAATATAGAATGTGATTTGTTTAAACTGTATAGACTGGTCTTACTTTCCTTGTCTGAAAACAATAAGCCTGATGTTTCATTTTGCTTTGAATAAGCCTGAAACAGCACTTCTTGCCACAAACTTATTCTGGGAGCTAATGTGACGGAAGGAATTGGGATTATACCAACAGTATTTTCAGCTTCTTGGCATTCACTGTTATTTATATATCAAATATTACTTACTAAATCAAATCATAGAATCATAGAATAGTTAGGGTTGGAAAGGACCTTAAGATCATCAAGTTCCAACCCCCCTGCCATGTATGAGTAGACTTTAAGATTGAAAATATTACTACAAAAGAAATGAATCCAGTGACTGTAAAACACTGGGTGCCAAATGTTATAGCAAATTAAAATGCAAGATTTTTACTCCCTTGCTTTCAAACCCCAAACTTGAGAAGTCATAAAAATCAGGCACTTCAAAACCAGAAAATGTCACGAGTAGTTTTGTGTGATAAAGCTACTTCTACAGCATTACTGCTACATTACAGTATTACTACTGTAATATACTGTATTACAGTATAACTACTTTACTAGGCTGTCATTGTTTGCAGCTCAATAAGTAGACAATGGGCACGTGTTAAAGAGACTTTCCCTCATGGCATAGCTGAGTCTCTGCATTCTCTTGCTCCTGGTATCAAGTAACATTTGATTAACTGCTGACTTACAGGACCTTCTCTGATCCCATCTCAGCTTCACGCTACACACACATCATCAGCAGAGATCAGATGTAAAACTTACCGAAGCACTAAGCAAGCTTGGCATTAACTAAACTAGCTAACATAGAAAATGCCAAGCAACCTTGGTTTTGGGCATTGCTACCTTTAGCACCTAAACTGAAAGGAGATTTGAATGTTAGAGACAGATGCATGTAATCAGGTAAAATAGCATGAATAACAATAGAGTGCCTATAGGGGTTTTCTCCTTCTTGTTCTGATAGACATTGTCCTCTGAGGGAAGAGCAGAGAAATCAGGGAGGGTTGTTTGCTTTATTTGTTCTGCTTATTTTTGTTTTAATATTATCTTAACACAGGATTATCTTCTAGGAAAACAGGCAAAATGTAGGGAACAGTAGAGTGGGTTTGTTATAAAACTGAGGTGCTTCTTCCAGTTACTGATAGGGCTTCTTTTGGAAAGCCTCTTTCATTGTATCTGAAAGCAAACCACACAAAGTCTGAAATGAATGCATTCACTTAAAAATGGATGCAGGCTGTAACGTTCCTATGCAACCCAACCTCTTCACCCTTTTCATTGCTGTTGCTTTTATTACAGACTTACAATGGCATTGTGTGATGTAACACCTTTCCAAAAAAGCCAGCAGCAACAATAAGCACTTTGCACTTCCCATTCTTTTAAATATCTAGTTCAAGTGGGAATGAATTGAAGAAGTCCTAAGAAGGATGGCGGTGGGAAGCCTGCTTTCCCTTTGGCTGTGTGAGATGGATTCTTTCTTCTGAAGAGCAATGGTATCCTCCTACTGCAGCCTTTCCCTCATTGGGACTTACTTTCTCTTTGTTTCTCTTTCTCTTGTTTCATTTGTTCATTTCTTTTTATTCCTTCCTTCCTTCCTTGCATGCGGTGCCTGCTTCCCTCCCTCCCTCCTTCCCTCGCGTTTTTCATTTTACTATTTATTTTCATTATTTCACCATGTTATTTCATTATTGCATTTGCCTTTCCTCTTGCCTTTCCTCTTGTGTCTCCCTCTCCCTTTCCCTTCCCTTTTCCATTGTTTCATTGCAGTATTTCAGTCTATTTCATTCGAACAAGTCAGTTTATTTTTTTTACAGAAAGAATCAAACCAGAACAAGGAAGAAGAAAGTAGAACAACAACAACAACAACATCGCCCCCCCCCCAGCTGGTTTAAACACTCCTGTCATGGACAACAGTATGGATTTTCCACAGCTCCCTCAGGGCTCTGAACACAACTTGTGGCCTGTGCGAAATTCTGTTGAGCTTGGTCTTCATGCCCAGGTTGATCAAACACAAAAGAAACCTGCAGAAATAAGCATTGAAGAATTGTTTGGGTAAGAATGCAATTAGAAACTTGCTTTTTTTATCATTCACTTGTACAAGTTTCTCAATGATTGCATACATGGCAAACTCCTTCCCAGAGTGAGCCGCGCCAGTTTGGTATTGCAAGGTCCACGAAGGACTGCATAAGCCTTCTTCAACATGAGGCTGCTTAGGGCTGTCTGACATACCTTCCTTATTTTAGGAGCTGATGAAGTGGGAGATAAACTTCTCCTCTTAAGTGAGCTCCTCGGCTGCAAACATGGTTGCTTTGGACTCAGACTCTGGGTGTCTGGTTTCTCTGTCGTCATCACTTTTCCTTCAGGTTCAGATGTTGTGCCTTCGTGTTCCTGCAAAATCAGTAATACAAGGTCAGTACCGCACAATTCATCACCCAGGCACATGTTCTCACCACAGCATCAGTTTTCCTACATGTTCTGCATGCTCAAGGCAACTAAACTGCCGAGCATCTGATATCGTTTCTGTATTTCTACGCTTCAGAGGTGCTTTATTTTGGTACAATTCGCTGTCAAACATAGGGAGGCTTTCACTTATGACTGTAAGACAAGACAGCTTAACCACCATCTTCTGAGGGTGGCATCAAACCAGCCTGAGCTAATGAGGAAACTGAGTTTACTTCCAGCAATTGAGCTTCCTTCTTCTATAGGAGCAAATAAATTTGAAGTAGCCTGGCTTGCTGTGAGCGACAAGAAGGGATGGAAGACGAGGATCATCGGCAGGCAGCATTTTGGAGAGAAGTGAAAAACAAAACCCCAAGAACTTCGTAATTGTTCCACAGTCTGGAAGAGGGTTTTGAGACCTAAACCCCAACCTATCCAATAGTCTGAGCTCAGAAAATCCTCTTGCCCATGGTCAGAGGTCACACACTTCATTCTTAACATGCTGCATTGTCAGACAGCAGTAGAGGGGCAATGACAACTGCATGTGTCAGCATCTGCCCGCGCAGCAGGCACCCAAACTTACAGATTTCTTTGGGAACTTGCGTTTTGCCAGGATGCTGGAAAAGTCCAGGTTTGCAGGCAGGTGTTGAATTGGCCATGCTGGATCTAACACGTTCACTCTGATGTCAAGTACAAGCAGTTTCTTCCGAGGAAAAAGACCAGTCCATGTAGAACGTAAATGAAATAAGTGCTTCTTAGTCTGTGCATCCACCTAAAACAATCAGACAATTGTAGGGCTTGTGAAGGGAATAGGAAACAATTTCTTGATGTTTTCTGTCGAACTAAAGAGTTCATCTGTTTCCTGTCTCTAGGAATCTCGGCAGCATTTGTTCCTGGTAGGACATACATGCTTTCCATTTGGGTTTTTCTTCTTCTGTTGCCATATCTTTAATGTTTTAATAAGAAGAGATGGGCATAAACTCAAAGGCAGGAAGGTCCACCTGAACTTGGGGAAGTGCTCACGTACTGAGAGGATGACTGAGCACTGGGATGGGGTGCCCAGAGCAGTTGTGAAGCCTCCTGCCCTGGTGCCTTCCAACAGTTTTGTTACTGTGTTTTTTTTGCCCACATAAATTGGGCAAGGAAAATGAGACCTTTGCTAGGGAAATAGTTGAAAGAACATTTCAGAGATTGGAATCTTTGCAATAAAACCTTTAAATCGCCTTGAAACAACAGTTCCACATTCGACCTTCTGTTCCTCAGTCCATGGGTATAGATGTATGAGCTGCACTGCTTACAAGTGCTGTAGAGCAAGGTGCTAACATGGCAAACAGAACTTATCTGAAGGTGTGCATACCTCTTCAAAGACACGAGGGAATATAAAAGTTAGGTTTTTAGCAAATGCAGGCACGTATTCTGCTCCCACGTTCTTGATTATGGAATCCATAAGGAACAGGACCGGAAGTTTCTGTGATGGAGGAGCCTGGAGTAAGGAGAAGAAACTGAGATGGGGCTTCAATCGTGAGACATGCTGCTCTCCCAGAGCTTTTGGTGGGATGAGTCCCAAACCCTCTCCTAGTACGAGCAGGGAGGAAGGGCTCTTGCTCTCCTGGGAGTCCCCTGCCTGCTTTCCTGTCTCTCCTTGTCCCTTCTACATTCCTCCTCCTGCAGCCCCTGCGCCTTTGCTGCCTGTCTCCTGTGCTCCTCAGCACTCCATCTCCCCTG